TGTGAGGCCCTGCACTGCATAAAAATTAATAGTAATAATAATGATTGTCTTAGCTATTCTTCCTTTGCATTTTCATATAAATTTAGAATAATCTTGTTTGTGTCTACAAGATTATTTGTTGGTGCTGGACCGATAACACAGCGGGTAGGGCATTTGCCTTGCATGAGGCCGATATACCAAAAACAGTAACAACAAGTCTCACAATGGAGATGTTATTGGTGCCCGCTCAAGCAAATCAGTGAACAATGGGAGGACAGTGCTACAGTGGACAATGCTACAGTGTCTACAAAAATTGTTGCTGGGGTTTTGATGGGAATTGCATTCTACTTATATATCAATTTGGAGATAATTGCCATCTTTTCTATCTTGATTCTTTCAATTCATGAACAAGTGTGGTATTGTTGAGTTCTCTATACTTTTGATTTTCTGTTTTGTTCTCCCCTTTGTTTAAAGAGAAGTGTTGAAGTCTCCAACTGTATAGCTGTAGATTTCTTGCAGTGGGGTGGGAGGATGTTGGGGAGAGGTGTTGGGCCACGCTCGCAGTGCTCAGGACTTATTTCTAGGTCTGCACTCAGGGATCACTCCTGGCATGGCTTGGGGAACCAATAAGGTATTGAACCAATAAGGTATTGAACCTAGATGATCTGTGTGCAAGCCGAAAACCCTACCCACTGTACTATCACTACAACCCTAATCTCTGTCTTTTAATTGATGTATTGAAATGGTTTATATCTTACATTTATTGGTAAATTAGGAATTTTGTCTGTCATCTTACTTCTTGTCTTCTTTGTTCAATTTTGTTTTGTTTTGTTTCCTGCCTTCCTATGAACTACTCAAACTTTTTTTCAACGTATTTATAGTGGGAGGTTTTCTGTTGTTATTGTTTATCTTGGGTGTTACTAGAATACAAACCTTTTTTTCACACTTGCCAGGTTATGTTTTGTTTTCTAACTTAAATAAGTGGTTTTTGTTTGTTTGTTTGTTTATTTGTTTTGAATATTGGAGCCACTCCAGGAAATGCGCAGGGATTACTCTAGCTCTCTGCTCAGGGATCATTCCGGGCTATGCTCAAGGGACCATATGGGATGGCGGGGATGGAACCTAGGTTGGCCACATGCAAGGCAAGCCCCCTACCTCCTGTACTATCACTTCAGTCCCTAATTTGGGGTTTTGAATGTATCTCCTTGTATGGTATTTTAATAACTCCTCTAGGTATTAAATATATATATGGGGGGGGGCTGGAGTGATAGCACAGCGGGTAGGGCGTCTGCCTTGCATGCGGCCGATCCAGGTTCAATTCTGAGCATCCCATATGGTCCCCTGAGCATCGCCAGGTGTGACCTGAAAAGCAATATATATATATGTGTGTGTGTGTGTGTGTGTGTGTGTGTGTGTTTATTTATATAGAATATCACAGTCTGCTGGTGTCATCATTTTACTAGTGTTCAGTCTTATTCTGCTTCTTTCCAATCCTTGACTAGAGAGAACAGACCTTTGTTGGGCTCTTATTATACTCACCATTATTTCCAAGCTGTGAACTTGTTAACACCTAGTTCTAGGATATAAGAGAACGAAAATCCAATAAATTCATCAACATATCACTTCTCTTGTCCTGGGGTCTTGAGTAGTCTACTTTTTTCTTTCTACCTTCCAAGGTGTTCCCATATTTAATATATATATATGTACATATATGTTACTGTAGCACTGTCCTCCTGTTGTTCATCGATTTGCATGAGTGGGCACCAGTAATGTCTCCATTGTGAGCCTTGTTGTTACTGTTATTGGCATATCAAATACGCCACAGGGAGCTTGCCAGGCTCTGTCGTGCAGCTGGGATATTCTCAATAGCTTGCCAGGCTCTCCAAGAGGGACAGAGGAATTGAACCCAGGTTGGCCGTGTGGAAGGCAAATGCCCTACCCGCTGTGCTATCGCTCCAACCCATGATATATGTTACTGGGAGAGATAGGGAAATCGTATGTCTAGTGTACTTTCTCAGAGTGGAAATCCATCTCAGCTTTAACTTTGATTATAGCTGTAGGTGAGTTCCCTTTTTCTTTATTTTTCTAAGTATTCCTGTGTCTTTCACCCAGCCCTCGCATATCCAACCTTGGAATTTACCCCAGAGAAAGTGAACTTATAACTTGAACAACCATAGTTTCAAACCATTGTGTTCATGCTGCCCATTCTTTTTCCTTTACTGTCTTTCCTTTTATTTTCTCTTGGGTCTTCTCAGAATTCTGCTTGCAGAGACCTCATAGCCACAAGATGGTGCCCCAGAGTAGTTCAGCTAAGCCTTTCTGCACTTTCTTGAGCCCATATCTTTAATTCAATGTTTGTAAATTCAAAACCACTTATCTAAACCTCCTGATGTAGCTGTGAGAACACTTATGTTTTTCTTTAAGGCGTGTCTTCCCTGTTGCATGGACTCTTAAGCTGTCCTTTACAAATAATGGTAAATTGAATTACATAGGGTCATTCTCAGATTCTCTTGCCTTTGGCCATTTGTTAATCTCGTACAGTCTCCTGCCCCCACGCCTGGCTGTCCTCGCAGGGGCCCCTTGGAGGGGAGCGGGTTGAGCTTTCCTCCCCGCCCTGACCAGGGCTCCGGCAGCCGAACACCTCCAGGACCAGCCACCACCATGCTGAGACCACTCTCCGCACACCTGAAGGCACCGGCAGAGGAAGAAAGGCAAGCGGGTCCCAGGGCTGAGATCTCCAAGCCTACTTACAAGACATCTTATTATGACATCTTATTATCTCATTCCTACTTTGGACAAACTGGCAGGCTACCGAATGTAACCTGCCCACACGGCAGAGTCTGGCAAACTCCCCGTGGCGTGCCCAATATGCCAAGTACCAGTAACAGTGATGGGTCTCATTCTCCTAAAGAGCCTTGAATATAGCACTTTCTTAAAAATCTCAGGGCTAGGATGAAGGAGACGTTACTGGGGCCTGCTCGAGGCAATCGACAAATAACAGGATGGTCGTGATTCGTGATTCGTACTGTTTCTTTATACTGCATAGGAGAGGGATCATTCTTTGTCTGACCCTTTCCTTCTAGTTAACTTCACTCAGCATGATATTTCTACTTCTGTCACATAGTGACAAGTTGCATGATTTGTTTAAACCTCTTTTTATTATGTCTTTATATTGACTTGGTGGAAATTCAAATGAAAATCTTGAAAGTAGTTGTCATTTCTCTAATAAAGTTCAATTGCCATTTTATATCTGGGCTCATTGAAATTAATACATCATTTCAACAGATTTTGTTCATTTACTTATTTATTTTGGGTCTGGGGCCATACCTGGAGATGCTCAGGGGTTACTCCTGTCTCCACACTCAGGAATTACTCTTGGTGGTGCTTGAGGGGCCACAGGGGATGCCGGGTTCGAGATGGCCAAATGCAGGGCAAGCGCACTATGCTGTACTGTCGCTCTGTATCTGTCCTCATTCTGTATCTCAATTTTAAAACTAATAAGGATAATAAAGCCACCTATTTCCTAAAATAATAAACTAGCACTGGGCCGGAGCAGTAGTACAGTGAGTAGGGTGCTTGCTTTGTATGCGTGGCTGACCTGAGTTTGATCCCCGGCACCAGATGGTCACCCAGGTCGCACCTTGCTCCTTAAGCCCTGAACACTGCCAGGTGTGGCTCCAAAACAAACCCAAAAAATTTTAATTTAAAATTAAGATTAATATAGTAATGGAGTAGATTAGGATGGATTATATATATATATGCACACATGTATATAATATGTGTATCTTATAAATGCATACTCAGAGCAATAAAGTACAGTGTCAGGAACTATCAGGCTGGACATACAGTGCAGTGGTTAAGGTGCTTGCCTTGCATGCAGTCTCTTAAGCACTTCCAGGAGTGATCCCTGAGAACAGAATCAGGAGTAAGCCCTGAGCACCACCAGTCATGGCCCAGAAAACAAACTTAAAGGAGTCATATTAAAAATCCAAATTTGGGGCCAGATAGATAGTACAGCAGGTAGGGCATTTACCTTATATGTGACCAACCCAAATAGTCTCCTGAGCCCCTCCAGGAGTGATCTATAGTGGCAGAGCCAGGAGTCAGCCCTGACAGCTGGCCATTTTAGCCCAAACTAAAATATTAATTTTTTAAATTTTCTACATTTACTTATTTATTTTTATTGAAACACAATGAGATATACCACTGCAAAGTTGTTCATGATTGGGTTTCAATCATATAATGTTCCACCACCCATTCCTTCTCCAGTGTACATAAAATAATAAATTTTAAAATAGAAATAGAAAGTCAGGTTTCTTGAATCAGATATATAGTGCAGAGGTTAAAAAGTGCTTCTCTTGCATGTAGCCAATTCTGGTTGGCTGCCAGCACCAAATATGCTCCTCGATTCACTCCTCAGTGCAGCCCAACCCACCCACCCCAAAGTGAAAATTCAACTCTTGTTAACTTGGTATTACATTGCCAGTTTTTACAAGTATCTCTGGCATAGTAGGTACAAAAGCAATATTTGACAACTAAATGAATAGAATGTTATTGATTGGATCATTTAAAATATTTTTAAATGAAGTTTGTACTTTTTCCAAAAGAAAGTAGTATTTAAATGAAAAGTTGTATAGAAAAACACTATGTAACTACAAAAGTCCAGGTGTTTGGGTTGAATTGGGCTGAGAATATCTGGGAGTAATCCCCATCTCCCTTATTTCTTCCTGTCTCTATCCCAGTGGACTCAGGGAACATAGTTTCAGATTAACTCATATACTTTATATCTAGAGAAAGCTGGATCCAATGTACTGTATCCTGACCATTAATTATTCATTCTCTGTTAATATTTAACAGAGAATCATTTTTCTCACATTTACAAAAATAAAGTGCTTACTTATAAAGAAGAAATATTTGTTTGCCCTTTTTTGCCAGAGAATAACACTTCACTACTGAGGTTATCTGCTAGAAGAAAGAATCACTTCCCTTCACCCTCTTGGTTGCTCCTTTGTGTCTTTTAGCTCTTGGATGTGGTCTCCCAGCTCTCTGAGCTGAATCTGCGGCTGCTGGTCCTGGGTCGGAAGCACATGCTGATACCAAGTTCCCGATGGAGAAAGGACGAGATGGAAAGGGTGAAGAAGCTAGCGAGCTGTTTCTTTGCAGACAACATGTAAGTGTTGAAGGTGACAGTGAGTTCACTCCACCCTAGTCATCTGCTCATTAGTTAGCTGTTTTCACCAATTTAAACATATGTGTTTCTGTGTGTATATACTTGGCCTCATTTTTTAAAATTTTCTTTAAGAAAGATTACAAAATTGTTTCTATAGCAAGAGAAAACTGAACAAGGGCCAAGAAGAGAACTTGGAGAGCTGGAACTCATATCATTTGCATGTGAGAGACCTGGGTTTGATCCCTGGCACACATGGTCCCCTGAGCATCATTGAGAGTGACCCCTGAATACTGCAGGGTATGGATCCCCCAAGAAACCCCAAAACTTAAATCAATAAGAAAATTGGGTGAAAGGGAAGGTAATATCAGAAGTGAGGTCCAGAGCCATAGTACAGCGGTATTCAGGGATTACTCCTAGCTCTGCCCTTAGGGATCACTCCTGGCAGGCACAGGGAACCATATGGGATGTTGTGGATTGAACTTGGATCAGCCACATGCAAGGAAAGCACCCTACCTACCTACTGTACTATATCACTCCAGCTCTTCCTGAGTGTTTTAAGTGAACACAAGTCACTTTTGTCATTTTGCCTCAAGTACATCTGTAAAAAGTAGACTCAGGGTGGTTTTATTTTGAGTCACATGGATCAAGGCTTCAGGCTTATTATATATTGTGACCCAAATCCCTGATCCAAGGGTAGTTACTGCCATTTTTACAGTGCATGTACTAAGTGGGAAGCTCTGATGTTCAGTCATTGGTGACGCTTGTTCCTCTCCAAGCCAGAGATGCCTCTGGGTGCTGTTCCTGGTGACGGCCCAGAAGCTGCTGTGAAGTATCAGCTCCAACTTGGAGACAGATGCCCTCCTGCCCTTACAATAATACTAAGTATGATCATTTCTAGATCTCAGCAAAAAAAAGAAAAGGAAAAATAAATTCTTTAGTGGATAAGACAAATAGAGGAAATACCCTGAAAACCCAGAGAACCAACTCTTATGAAAAGAGAATTATTGTTAGAATTCTCCATTCCAGTGGGAGAGCCAGGTTTAGCCATTAGAGTCACAAGTATTAGTGTTTATTTCCCCTTAGTTTTCCATCTGTGTTCTGCACCCAACATGCTTAAGCCGTGGCTTGCAACCCACTTCAAGTGGGAGTAACCTAGATGAAAGGGGGAGGAAGATTCGCGAAAAATCTTAAGCATAAGTTTCTTTATAATTTGTTGCCAGTAAATATTTGATTTTCTTTGTGTGCCTGTTTTATATATCTATATACTCTGGGTCTTATAAGCATTTCTTTAGTGAAAAGGAGGTAGCTGGCACATACCCACTAGTGGCTCACACTTGAATGTGATTTAATTAACACAAATTGCTGCTCCAGCATCTACATGGTAAGCACCTCTCAAGATCAGTGATTTTCAGTCTTTTTATACCATGGACTGTCATCGATCTGAGCACCAGTCCATGGACAGGCAGTTAATAAACACTGTGGATGGTATTGCCTACGAGTTAAGGACTAACATGGTCTGGCTCTTGACAGGGACAAGAGAATTGTTTTGTTTTGGAGTCTCACCTGATAGTGCTCAGGAACTTCTCCTGGCTCTGTGCTCAAAGGTCACTCTGACGGTGCTCAATGAACCAAATGCAGTGCCAGGAATTGAACCAGCATCGTGACAAGTTTGTCACAAAATTCAATTTGCATAAATTGAATGCAAAGTATGTACCCCAGTCCTTTGAGCCATTTCTTGACACTTGCAAAAGGTTTTTAAGTCTCTCTGAGATGGGGCTAGAGCAATAGCATAGTGAGTAGGGCATTTGCATTGCACGCGGCCGACCTAGACTTGATTCCCAGCATCCCATATTATCCCCTGAGCACCACCAGGAGTAATTCCTGAATGCAGAACCAGGAGTAACCCAGGTGCATCATCAGGTGTTACCCCAAAAAGCAAAAAAAAAAAAAAAGTAAAAGACCCCGTGTAGTGCTGCCCTCTCTCCATGGGCTATGCCTGATTGTGTTCTTTTCTTGCCTGGCTAAGCTCTGAGGACGACCCGTTCCTTCTGTATGCCACACTGCACTCAGGCAATCACTGCAAGTTTGTCACAAATGATCTGATGCGGGACCACAAGGCCTGTCTACCTGATGCCAAGACCCAGAACCTGTTCTTTAAGTGGCAACAAGGACATCAGCTGGCAATTACTGCTAAGCTTGCAGGATCGAAAGTAGTCTTTCAGGTATGTTATCCATCCTCTCCAGAGTGTTCATAGGTTAAGTATTTAGTAAGAATATGGCTTAGTCGCAGGATGTTGCAAGTAGTTCAGCCTAGTCTCAGTGCTTTATTTTTCTCAGTTTTAGTTCAGTATTTGGAATTAGCCAGTTTGGAGAATAATACTCCCAGGGCAAATGTTTCAAAGGCCGATCTCATGTTAATTCATGTTAACCACTTGGTATCAATTCCAACTCCTCATGTGTGTTTTTTATTTTCCTCTTTATTTTCACTAACTTTAAGCCATATGGTTTGTCAGACTTCCACTTTTGCTAAAAAACTCCTTTTTCCTCTTTAAACTACTTCTGCTGCATGGTCTCCATTGATTTCTCCTTTGGTTCTACTTGGGATTTCTTCAAACACAAGGATACCACCTGTAAAAAAACAGTGGGGAAAAAATTAGAAGGACAATTAATACCAAAAGAGTACACTAGCAATGGTAATTAAGGTCCAGCAGTCACAAAATTTGTAGGGAGTGTTAACGAACGATAGCAGAGAGATGTAGTCAGTAACACAAGACTATGGGAACAATGCAGGAATTGTTGTTGAGGAAACAACCGACCTGGTTTCCTCAACAGAAATATATCAGGTCACAGTGTAATTTTCAATTTTCGAACAAGTGTTAAATATGTTTGCATTTGTAACAGTTGGTAGAAATGTATACAGAAATTTGATGACATCAAAGACTTAGTAAATTTTTTTTAGCTTATTGGGGGGCCAGAGCGATAGCACGTGCATTTGTCTTGCACGCAGCCAACCCAGGTTCAATTCTTCCATCCCTCTCTGTGAGCCTAGCAAGCTACCAAGAGTATACCGCCCACACAGCAGAGCCTGGCAAGCTCCCTGTGGCGTATTCGATATGCCAAAAACAGTAACAAGTCTCACAATGGAGACGTTACTGGTGCCCGCTTGAGCAAATAGATGAACAACGGGAGAACAGTGCTACAGAACAGTGGCTTTTTGGGTCACACTGAGCACTGCTTATGGGTTCCTCATGGCTCTGTACACGGGAATTACTCCTGGCAGTGCTTGGGGGACCATATGGTATGCTGGGGATGGAACCTGGGTCAGCTGCATGCAAGACAAAAGCCCTACCTGCTGTACTCTCACTCCGGCCCCATCCAGTTATTCTTAAATGTAATATCTGAGATTTGCTTCAAAATAATCTTCAGGATAAAGTGGAGAAGTAGGTAGGTAGATTGTGGATGAGGTAAGATTAGCCTGAAGTTGATTATGGCCAAAGTTGGGCAATGATTACATAAGCATTTATTATATCATTTCTCTAGTTTTGTAATTTTAAATGTTTCTCACGTACCAAATTGACATACTATGAGAAGAATACGAGATCCTATACATGAATTGTTCCTGTAGAGAGTTTTTAACCTTAAAAATGAAAGCCCTGGGCCTGTGGATATTGTATATATAGTGCTTGTCTTGTATACAACCAATCTGGGTTCCATCCCCAGCACCTAATAAGGTCCTTTGAACACTTCCAGGAGTGGTCCTTAAGCTCAGAGTCCTGAGTATCATCGGATATGCCCCCCCCCCAAAAAAAATGAATCCCCTCAAAAAAGCAACTCGTGGGGCTAGAGTGATAGCACAGCAGATAAGGCATTTGCCTTGCATGCAGCCGACCCGGGTTCGATTCCCAGCATCCCATATGGTCCCCTGAGCACTGCCAGGGGTAATTCCTGAGCTCAGAGCCAGGAGACCCAAAAAGCATCGCCGGGTGTGCATCGCTGGGTGTGACCCAAATGCAAAAAAATAAATAAATAAATAAATAAATAAATAAATAAAGCAATTCGTAATTTTAGAATTAGGTGCAGACCTGGGTGCTTTTTATAAATTCATTAGATACAAGAAGTGGCCCCAAAATCCTTTGTAGTAAATAAGTTGTTAGACAAAGAGTAATGTCCAGATAATCTTTTAGTGTCGTTCTAAATTGTTCACTTTCATTTTTAATTCAACAGCCTATTCTCAGCTATGACACAGTCGTGCAGACAACTGGAGACTCGTGGCACATACCATATGATGATGACCAGGTGGAAAGATGCTCCTTTGAAGTGCCAACCAAATGGCTTTGCCTTCACAGAAAGACATAAAGACTCTTCACTTCTAGATTTGTGTGCGAGGTCAACCTGGTTTTGTCAGAGAACTTAAGTCAGACTTGGCAAAAGCTCGGCTTCTTTTCTGTTTGATCCCTTTGGTTTGTATGTCAATAAATTGATTTTTAAATGAAGTAGCATAAAATCTCTTTCATTGCAGTTATATTTCCTCCCCTGGCATTTGTTTTTAGAGACTTACTCAGATCTGGGGAATGAGGTGCAGAATGAAACCTTCAGTTCTGTTGGACCTGGTCTCTCCCTTCCTTAGATGACAGGTGCCCTTTGGTATCCTATTTTACTTTTTTTTTTTTTAATTTTTGGTTTTTTAATTGAGTCACCATGAGATATACAGTTACTGTTTAAAAAGCTGTTCATGATCAGGTTTCAGTCATACAATGATCCAACACCTGTTATCTATTTCCCACCACCGATGGCCCCAGTTTTCCTCCTGCATCCCTCCTCCCCCAGCCTGCCTCTGGCTCTATGGCAGGCATTTTCCATTTTCCTGTTCTCGTTCTCTCTCTCTCTCTCTCTCTCTCTCTCTCTCTCTCTCTCTCTCTCTCTCTCTCTCCCCCCTTTCCTCCTCCCTCCCTCCCTCCTTCTGGGCACTATGGTCTGCAACACAGATACTGAGAGATTATCATAATCTGCTTGTTCATTTCCAGCTATCTTTGTCATAATGGTCCCTTCTCTATCCCAATTGCCTTCTTCCCCAGCCACTTGAGGCAGCCTTCCAACTGTAGACAAATCTTCCTTGCTCTTGTTTCTACCCTCCTTGTGTATTCACGATCACGATCACCGTGTTGTTCGTCAATTGCCTCAAGCAGGCACCAGTAATGTCTTCTTCATCCTAGCCCTAAGATTTTAAAAAGTGCCATATTCAAGGCTCTTTCAGGGATAGGAGAATGAGACCCATTGTTGTTACTGGTATTTGCCATATTGGGTACGCCACAGGGAGTTTGCCAAGACTCTGCCGTGTGGGCAGGTTACATTCAGTAGCCTGCCAGGTTGTCCAAAGTAAGAACGAGATAATAAGATGTTGTATGGCCGCGAATGCAGCTGTGTGCTTCCGGGAGCTGGGTTTTATAGTCTCTGGGTCTTTACCGTTGATGGGATTACCTGGCTCCAGGGACAGTTGGTGAGTGTGACCCCTGCCTACTGGAAGATGGAGGATCTGGGTGGAGGATGCTCAGCCCCGATTCGAGCAGGCTTGGAGACCTCAGCCCTGGGACCTGCATGCCTGTGTTCCTCTGCCGGTTCCTTCATGCGTGTGGATAGTGGTCTCAGCATGGTTGTGGCTGGTTCTGGAGGTCCTTGGGTATTAGTCTTATATTATTTTTTTTTCATATTCCACAAATGAGTGCGATCATTCTATGTCTATCCTTCTATTTTACTCTTTTGTGTCCTTGTATCCTCTTTGGCCATTGCAAATCTCATGTTCCAGCTTCACCAGTATTATTGATTATCCCCTTCTCTTATCTCTATGGGGTGCAAAGCAAGTACCTTAACCTCTGTATTATCTCTCCGCCCCTTAAGAAAAAAAATTGTGTGTGTGTGGAAGGCCAGAGTGATAATGCAGCAGGTAATTCACTTGCCTTGCAGGCTACCGACCCAGGTTTCATCCAGAGCATCTCATATGGTCCCCTGAGCACCACCAGGAGTAATCCCTGAGCACCACCGGGTATAGCCCAAAAACAAAAAAATAAAACAAGTATTTGTGTGCTTTCTAAAAGCCGATTGCAAATTCCTCATAAAGAGCCCTTGGAGATGTAAGACGATAGAAAAAGAATTCTAAAGCTTTCATGAGGGCTGGAGCGATAGCACAGCGGGTAGGGCGTTCGCCTTACAAGCGGCCAACATGGCCGACCCGAGTTCGATTCCTCCGCCCCTCTCGGAGAGCCCGGCAAGCTACCGAGAGTATTCGATATGCCAGACACAGTAACAACAAAGTCTCCAATGGAGACGTTACTGGGCCCGCTCGAGCAAATCGACGATCAACGGGAGGGCCTTGGGCCTTGGGCCATGAGGCTTCAAGTTTAGAAATGAGTCCCCACAATTAAAATAATTATTTAAAGAGTGCTGACAGTGATTTCTTTTAGAGGAAACTGATGTCTGCTCAGAGTAAGTCACATTGCCGTGGGCCCTGAAGAGGGGTGTGTGTGTGTGTGTGTGTGTGTGTGTGTGTGTGTGTGTGTGTGTGTTTATTCTAGAGGAAACTGTTGTCTGCTCAAAGTAAGTCACACTACCGTGGGCCCTGAGGGTGTGTATGTGTGTGTGTGTGTGTGTGTGTGTGTGTGGCGCAGGGGATGGGGGTGGAAGGTGGAGACCGTCTCTGAATAGGGGCAGCCGCTGCCAAATGTTCAGGCTGCCTGCTTGTACTCTGATCTCCTGCTTGAAAAAAGTGAGGTCAAGTGAGGTAGAAGACAGTGGGAAAAAGGAATGTTTAAAAGCCTGTGCGCTGGAGACCTTTGAAGTTAGCCATGAACAATGAAGGCTTTTAAGGGCACTGACTCTGCTACTGCAGAATCTCTCTAAAGTGCTTTGTGTTTCTCAGGCATGCTTCTGAACTGATAGAGACTCACACTCCTGCTGCTCTCAGGCAGATAAGGAGAAAATCTTAAAGGATTCCCAGTTCATTCCCTCAGGACTTCATTGCAGTCCTCTTACCTCAGATGCCTCCTTCATATTCATTTTTCTCGTCAAGTTTGTACTTAAATACAATTACTATTTTCTTATTCCTCTATCAGGTTTCTCGCTTATTTTTTAAAAAAAACAAAAAACCTGTCCTAAGGTACTATAAAAGGCATCATTTTTTCCTGATAGTTTCATTCTAAAGCAGAAATGGAAAGGAAAGGTATGTTATGTCAGCACCTGAATTCTGGTCCCTCCTAAGTGGATCTTGTTTCACTTTTGCTACCAATCAAAATAAACAGGGTAACAAAACTAACAGGAGTCCAAACCTGGTATTGTGTCTCATCCTTCAACAATTTGGAATTCTAGAGTCGAGACTATCCTAGGAAGTCTGTGGCAAGAGCTGGGGATGAAGGGGCAGTGTTAGTTAAAATCTGGCCAAAGGGAAGAAGAAGAGGAAAACAGGAAATAATAAAAAATCAGGGGTTGGAGCTTTTGTTCCACTAGTGATATGGTTGAGTGGTATAGCCATATATCTAAAACACTGACACAACAGCACTGAAAACATGAAATCTAAGCTGCAACCACTGAAACTCTGTAATGTGCCCATCAAGTTGACATGTGAGGCATGGAATGGAGATTGGGGGTGGAGAGAGAATATGAACATTGGTGGAGGGAAGTTGATGCTGGTGTTGGAATTGGTGTTGAAATATGTGCCTAAAACTCAACTAGCGGTACAGAGAGAAGAAGGACCACATGGAGAGCTGGCTCCACAGCTCCCGGAGAAGAAACCAAGTTCCAAAAAGAGCTGAGATCACCGGGAAGTCCTGGATGAGGTAGGTGCCGCATCCCGCCTCCCCCAGATGGAACCCCGGTGACCAGAAGCCTCCACAAGCATAGCTCGAGTATGCGGGAACTAGGACTTTTCCTCCAAACCGCCGGGACCATCCCAGCCCCCAAATAACCTCTGATCCCGGAAGTCACGCCCACGGCCCGCCCTCCAGCGCCATCTTTACAGCACACTGCCATACAGAGAGAAGAAGGACCACATGGAGGGCTTTCCCCACAGCTCCCGGAGAAGAAACCAAGTTCCAAAAAGAGCCGAGATCACCGGGAAGTCCCAGATGGGTAGGTGCCGCATCCCGCCTCCCCCAGATGGAACCCCGGTGACCAGAAGCCTCCACAAGCATAGCTCGAGTATGCGGGAACTAGGACATTTCCTCCAAACCGCCGCGACATCTCTGTATATACAAAGTGATCAATGGGAAGTAAATCACCCAACATTTCTCCCTGAAAATCAGAGTTAAGTTTGGAACACCACCACAGCCCCAGAAGCACAAGGACTTAATGCAGAACCCAACAGCTTAGAGCAGAAAAGTGAATGGACTATGCGTTAATCCAGGCCATCATGTCTGCCCGGAGGGGAAAGGGTGTTGCCCCATTCGCCCTCTCTTCCCTGGAAAGAAAGATGGCAGCCGCATGGGAGCCTTGTGGACAGCAGTTATGAGCCGGGGGTGCGGGGGCGACTAAAGCCTCATGGGAAGGGGGGTGTTCCGGTCCGTCCTTCACGCCCTACCGAGGTCACCAGTTGCCCCCCACGAGCGGCTCTCCAGCACGGCCACAGCCCCAGAAGCACAAGGACTTAATGCAGAACCCAACAGCTTGGAGCAGAAAAGTGAACGGACTATGCGTTAATCCAGGCCATCATGTCTGCCTGGAGGGGAAAGGGTGTTGCCCCATTCGCCCTCTCCTCTCTGGAAAGAAGATGGCGGCCACATGGGTGCCTTGTGGAGAGTAGGTGTGAGCCAGGGGTGTGGGGGCGACTAAAACCTCATGGGAAGGGGGGCATTCCAGTCCGTCCTTCATGCCCTACCGAGGCCACCAGTTGCCCCCCACGAGCGGCTCTCCAGCACGGCCACGACTCCAGAGCACAGAAACCAATCTCTTAATTATCTGACTCTCAGTAGAAATACTTCCAGGGTTAATTAGCAAAATAGCGGAAATCCAAAACCAACATTTAATTCTTGAACCCAGCTGTAAAAAGCGAATCACTTCACAATGCTTTCTCAGCATGTCTGATGTGGGGGGAGGGGGTAAACTCTAAATAATAGTGGTGCATCTTTTATTGAAACAATGAATCTAATCAAAGCAGATAAAGTGTCAACTAGAACTCATCTGCCTCGCAGGCATTGGGAGGGATGGGTGGTGGGGTTTTATTGGGGTTCTTCGTGGTAAAAAATAAGTATTGGTAAAGGGAAAGGTGTTTGATATTTGCATGACTGAGACCTAAATCTGAAAGCTTTATAACTTTTCCCACAGTGATTCAATAAATAAATTATTTAAAAAAAATAAAACAAAATAAAATAAAACTCAACTATCAATAATTTGTAAACTACAGTTCTTTAATAAAATTAAGAATTTTTTTTTTAAAAATCTGGCCCAAGAGCTTAACCGATAGTACAGTGTGTAGGATGCTTGTCTTGCACACAGCTGACCCAGGTTC